TACATTCCCAGTCGACAGGATGTCAAGCAAAATGTAGACTGATGCCTGGAAGTTGGATTCTTTCTTTCTGTGGAGAGGTTGCAGCTCTGTGCATACAAAATCAGAATTTAAAACCCCAAATTAAGAATTGGCATTTTCAATGCTGTTTACTGTACTGCTTTATGATGTGCATTTATATTTTTTGAATGTGTTGTAAAGGCCCATGAAAAAGTAGGTCCAAGTTGTTGACTGGGTTAAATATCCACACTGGTGGGTTTCTGGTTTGGATGATCACAGTGCATATTTTTTTAATGCTGAAAGTTAAAGGTTAGATTTGGGTTCTGACTGACTAAAGAAAGCTGCCTGTAATGTCCATTAATATCATTCCAAGGAACTATTAGTCTTTGTAATCTGCTGAAAGGGGGAATTCAATCAGTGTGCCTCAGTCATGGCTCTTGTTATAAAAATGTAATAGGCGCAGTTCTTACAGGTCATTAGAATTGCATATGTGAATGAAAGCCCAGGGGAACTGAGTGAAGCTATCTCAGAAAGCTGAAATTATGGAAGCATGATTTTTCATCAAGACAATAGAGAATAGTTTTTGGAGCCTGTATTTTACTTCTTACTGAAATAGGAAGGATGCTATTTTCTTTCTTTTGTCTCACTATCACTGTAGTAATCCGTGCTATGGTTGAGTCTGTTTTCTTGTTGCAAGCGTGGTGTGCAGCAATGAGGCCATAATCTCATTTTATTTCTTGGTGTCCTGACATCCAACTCCCAGGGACTACCTTCAACATTAGAACATTAGGGTTTGTTTGTTTGGGGTTTTTTTTTGGGTTTTTTTTTGGTTTTTTTTTTTTTTGGGTGGGGGGGGCAGGCGGGCAGAGCCAAATGGTCTTTGAGAGGGGATTGAAACCTTCTGCTTTAACAAGGTTTATCCAGCAAAAGAGGCAAGGCAGCTGTGTGGGGAGAATTATAGTAATGTGCCTAGTCTTTGGTACAATAAACTTTATGTCTCCAGTTTGGTCAGCTTTCAGAAACATTCTGTTCATTCAGTTTTTGGAAACATTATTTGCACTTTATATTGCACTTTATAACAGCCGTTAGAAAAAGTCCTTTGTGCACACTAAATAACAGGCAGGAATTTATTTTCGTAGCACAACCAGAGAATGTATTCATTTTCATGATCAATATAGCATTTCAAGTTCAGTGACTCTTCCCTCCCTCTACTGCCAGCACTGGTGATGAAACTGATTATTTTTCATCTTCCTTTACAGTATGCCTGGGATGCTAATGAAGAGTACCTCTTCAAAGCAATGGTATCTTTTGCAATGAGAAGATATTCCAGCAAGAGCACAACTCAGTAAGCACCTACTCTGATTTACCTTATACATATTAACAATGCTGTATGTAGTGGCCCATTCTCTGCCATACTGAACTGTAGAAATCATACACAGCTTTTGAAAACAGACTTACAGTATATTTCTTTGACACGAAGATGTAAGTTAAACATCACCCTCTCTCTGTCTTAAGCAATCTTTGTATTGGTATCCCTGTTGATGTGAAGAGACACAGCTGGGGATTGTGCCAATTCCCCTCTAGCAGAATCTGTCAGTAAGACATGATACCTTCTGGAGACCATACTGGGAGGAGGCGAAGGGACCCATTGGCAAGGTCAAGAAATGCAGTACAGATCCTTGAATAAGCATCTTTGGTGCACATTTTCTTAGAGCACAGCTTCAGCAGTATGCTGAAGATGAGCTGGCTCAGAGAACAGGAAGGTGGATCGGTGTGCTAGTGCTGTGTTCTGCTGGGGTTATCTATCCCTAATGTTGCAGCAGTTGAGTTACCTAGCATCAAGAAGTTTCAGATGTTGCAGTTCAGACTTTAATTGGTTTTGGGATTAAATCTACCCTGAGGTATTGCATATTCGTCTCAGGCTTCTGATCCTTGCTACTTATGAAATTAGGTACCAGCTTAGACAGAACATTTAGCAAGCTGTATTTTCAGTATGTTCTTATCTTCCTTAAATGAGAAAACTTGTAAGTGTATTTTTATAGGCTTATTATTTTTTCATTGTTTTTCAATCTTAAAATTAAAGATTTATGGTTCTGGTAGGCTGATGAGGATAAGGTTCTCAATTTACTTTTTAAAAAACTGCTTCAGGCTGTCATTGGATCAGATAAAGCATATTCCACATTTGCAAAGATATTAGTTAGCTTTAGTCACATGATTATTATTGTGGCTGCTGCACTTTCTCTTAAATAGAAGATTATTTCCCCTTCCATGTAAGAGGAGCGTTTGGTTCCTTAGTGTTTCATTTTTATTCCTCAGAAGTTTTCTCCTTTGAGCAAGGAACCATTACACCAAGCTTAACAAAAACAGCCAAGTATGCTTCTGCACCCAATTAAGATGACACTTAAAAAAATGACTTCAAGGTACAAGCTAATTAAAGGTGATTATGCAGAGCTTTTTCTCAGGTTTTCAAATTAGCAGAGTTTTAATCCAGTATCTGATCCATAAAAATTTGCTTTTGTATACTTATTTTAGTCCCACGTCCTTTTTAAAAATTATTCTCTTCCTTCAAAGTCATGGTGCTTTCGTACAGCAAAAAGCCTGTGTCAGAAGCCAGTGATCTTTTTCCTCTTCAAGCACCATGGCGTCTGCAGACTCAACTAATATGCAGGAATGGGAAAAAATCAAGCCAGTATGAAAGAAGCTGAAGTATTAACGGATGTTATCTCTTTCCACTCTGGCAAATCACAGAATTTATGCTCACTTAATTCAGTTTCCTAACAAGACAGTTTTTCCTGTGGGCAAATATGATAACATCAGTGTTACTGAATTTGGAGGTGGGGTTGCACACATCAATAATTTCCTCCTACTATATTTTTCAGAGGAGAAGTCAGTACAGTATTTGGAAACAGTTAGGTGGGGGCATCTTTATTTCTTTTTTAAAATGGTATAGGACTTCCTTATGGAGTACAGCTTGTTGGGGTGTACCTTGGAGGTACAACTGATAACTCTTCTAGGACTCCTAGAAACCTTTGGGGTCCTATGTAGACAGCATGTCAGACAAAGTACAGCTCTGCAGCTCTCAGATCTGGTACAACTTCCTAGGCAACAGGCTGAGGAGTTTCCTATCCATAGATCTCTCCCAAATCCCAAGGGACCTCAGAGTCCCTGTTCAGTGCTGGAGAGCTAGATGAACCTCCCAATACACCCCAAATTACCTGCCTGTTACATGGGAGCAGGAAAGCTATGAAAGCCTCCATCCTGTTGGGAGTCCTGGAAATAATGCACTCCTTTCCCCATCCATGTGGCTGGCAGCTGGAAGGAACTGGGTATAGAGGAAGTGGTGCCGACCAGCTCCGTCTCCTCTGTGGTGGGTATGGAGGTGTGGGAGCACTCAGCATCCCAGAGGCTACAGCAGCATGCTGCGCACGCAGGGACAGCGCTCTGTAGCTGGTAAGGATAGTGGCAGGGGCTTGCAGTGTGGTGAAGAGGGAAGCAGAAGCAGGAGTTTGTAGCAAATAAAATACATTACACTACAAGAGTTTTTATAAGTAAATGCCAAGAGATTTTCTTTGGGACTTGTAAAAGATCAGTGATCAATTATTCTGTCATAAGCGAATTGCTTGTGACTGCATTCTGGTAGCATCTAAATGTACCCAAATTTTGCATCTGATTAATTAAGATTTTTGTCAAAATAAATATTTGTGAAAAATTCATCAGTATGTTACATAACCAAATACTGGTTCTGCCAGGGTATAAACTCTGCACAGGGCCATAACCAGAATGTGACAAATGTCCACTTTAGTATCCCATTAATTTGTAACACCCCCACAGCCCTGCAGTAACTCACAGCCACAACTAACTCCCACAGGAGACCAAATGCCATTACCTTCAGCAAGCTGGATCAGGCCCCAGATAATTTGTCTGGTGGATCAGCATAACCATTGTTGCAGCCTGTCCCATAATTTTTTGAGATTCAAAGTCACCTTTTGTTAGGCTTCTGAAGCTGGTTAAAAGCCAGCCTGTAATGGCAAGCATTTGAACCTGCCAGTGGAAACAGCCGTTGATGCTGTTTTTGCAGTTGTGTAACCACTGAGTGACCTAACACAGAATGGGCAGGATTGCACATTACATCTCAAGTTCTCTAAAGTTAATTTCTAAGCTAAGATTTAATAAATCATGAAGCTGTGTTTAATGTTTGAAAGGCTTGTCAAATTCTCATGTTTGTGTGAAACAGAAGGACACAATCCATCAAATTACTCAGTAATTATTAATACAGATTAAAGAAATACTTCTTTTTCAGTAGAGAAATAAAAATCCTTTCTTTTCGGCTCTATATATGGCCTTTCAATTCATTCTGAATACACACTTTCCTGAACTACGCAAGCCAACCTTTGATATCTCAGTCTTAAAAAATGATTGTCTGTAGTCTGTGTTAGTAACCTTGGTTTCTCTAATCTGTGACTTGTTTGAAAAAATATGCATATTTTTTGGACCTGAGACTAGTTAATCTTTAGAGCAAAAAGAATGTCATCCTATTTACTTTCACTCAAGTAAGAGAATCTACTTTTGGTACATCTTCTGCCCATTTGTACATAAAAAATCTGCAGTTTTCCTCATGAAGTGACCAGAAAAAAATCATCAATATTATCCATCTTCCTAAGACAGGCTGTTTTGATACAAAAAAATATTGTGACCATTTAGAACAATAAAATAAGCTTCTAGAGTTTAAGCTGTTAGGTCACGGTGGTCCTATGGCTGCTGCTCACATTCCTTTGCCGAAGCAGCTGTGCAGAGCTGGGTTGGACGATGCTTTCAGGAGAGCTGGAGATAGGCACTTGGGACTTGGGGCTGTGATTCTCCCATGAGCTAATGACCACTGGAGGTGCCCAGCTCCGTTTGAGTCTCTGACAGCTTTTTCTTACCCCCTAAACAATCCTTTAAATCTCCATAAGGAACAGTGGTGGTATTTCAGGCCAAGGAACCGTCAGGGTTTCCTGCCCTCAACTCAGTGGTGCTCACTTGCATATGTTAAAGGAAACACAATTTTGAACTTCTGCCGTGGTGTACCATAAAGCCAGGACCAGGACCTTGTCATTTGGACAATAACAGCCTTCTGATCTCCATGACAAAAGTTTGTCACTTTCTAAGGAAATAAAAAGATGTCCACATATGTGTTTACAAATTCACTTAATTAGCATAGTGCATGAAGAAGAAGTTTCTGAAATCTAAACAGTGTAAAAGTATAATTCTTTTATGCTTCTGCATGCTATGAATCAAACCTATGTTCAAATAGAACAGGAAAAAAGGGCATACCTGCTGCAAAGAAATTGCATTTGTGCTTGTAGAACTGGTCTGTTTTGGTGTTTACTCGATTCCCTTTGAACTTCTCATGGAGCCTGGAAGGATTTACAGCATTCAGATTCCACTGATGAAGAAGTGGCAGTGACATCAGGTTTTGCTTATAACTGAGCAAGGATTTTAGATGCAAGAGGGAGCAGAAAGAAGGAAAAATTTACAAATCCTAATGTGAGCCTTGCTGCCCAACTGATTCAGTACTGTTTGTTACAGAGAAAGAGAAATGCTGCCCAAAATGATGACTGACTTCCCTATCTCAGGCTGAAAGCCCTTGACACTGTAGGGAAGACCCCTGGTTGAAGAGTCTCTCTGAGTCTCTGTATGAGAATGAGAAAGTTGGGGTGTTCTGCTAGTCTTTGTCTACCAAATTTGTATTTCTCTGTGAGGATTGAACTTTCTGTACTCACCCCATTTTGAGAACAACTGTAGGGCAACATGAACCCAGATTTTCTACCTGGACCAGTTTTTGATTGCACCACAGAAATTTCATCTTTAAGAACTTCAGTAGCATGAAGATTTAGGTACTGTTATAAATTCTCCTGATGGAAAACTTCCTCTGCATATACAATTTTAGATATTCTGTGAAGTCAGAAAGAGTTTGTCAGCCACCAGCCAAAATTAGACTCTTCGCCCCTGCCCCATACATTTTGTGCTTTGCTTTTGTTTTGGGAGGACTAAATCTGCTTTCATCTTCTGACTGTTGCCGGCAAACTGGTGGGAACCTCTTTTTGAATTCCAGAGAATGGCTTTTCTCTTTTATCCATTAAAAAAATCTCTGTTTTTGCAGAATTGATGTTGTTTCATAGAGGTAAAAGTGGATATTTCAGTTCTGTAAGATCATTACTTTCCATTTTATTGCATATCTCTATGGAATATATGCCTTCTCTGGAAAACAAAAGGTTGTGCTACCCAAGCCACCCGAAACACCACCCAAAAAAGCTTTCAGCAATAAGTAAAATATTTCTACAAAATTTCCATCATGAGCTCCTGTGATCAAGCCAATGCCTGTCCTGCCTTAAAAGCGATCTCCTTGTTTTCTGGATGAAGACCAAGCACGCACCACCAATAGTGGCTCTCTTACCTTCTTTCCTGCGTTGTGCTTTCTACAATCCACTGCAGGTCTCGTTAGCAGTCATTTAATTATATTTGTAATTAGCCAGCAGATGGCACTACAAACCAGAGCTCTGTGGCAGGGGAGCTGGTGGCAGCCGAGGGTTTGTCACCCTGAGTGAGGCTGGAAAGGAAACGTTAAAACTTTCATTTTGATGATGAACAGGCCAAACCTTAAAGCCAATTATAGTCGTTAGTAATGGGAATTACAAACATCACTGCAGTTAATTAAAACAGGGGCTGCATTCTTCTTTGATGGCTCACTGCAGAGTTTCCTTCTCCAGAAGAGCAGGGAGTATCTAAAGACTGATCATCCCAAGCAGCATCTGTCAGGACAAGGCGGCTGTGTTGTGCTTGTGGCCAGGTAGACCTTGTGCAAAGGTATAACCAAGTTCAGGGTGTTCCCCAGAAATAAAAATGATCCTTACTCTTTATTCTGGACTTTCAGAATATCTGCTCACTGCTTGGCCATGGCCAGTAAATCTGAATCCTCAGCCAAATTTTTTGGTTTATTTAATAATAATATAGAAAAAACCCCTTCCATTTTTATCTTTCTAGCTATCTGTCATTGAACTGATAAAGGCTTTGGTTGTCCTTTTATGATACATACTATGTTCCTTGCCATGCTCTAACAAATGCCACCTTCAGTTCATAAACATTACACAAGTTTGGCTGGTTTGTATCTTACTTGTCTAAATAAACTAGGAACTGATAGAAGAACGTAAGGGAACCATTTGTCTTCAGTCACTATTATGGTACTAATATATTAGCCTTCATTTCTTTAGTTGAAATACTCATGATGTCACTCCATCAGGTTTTTCTAATTATAGTTCCACCATTTACTAGTATTAGTGGCAGGAAAGAAAAAAGTAAGAGTCTAAAAAAAGGCTTTTAAAAAACATTTCACACATTTTTTACATAGTGTGCCATGAGAAGCTGCGTGTCTGTGCCCTTCCACTATTAACTTCACATAAAACTTAGCAATCTTCTATTAACAAAGATAAGATAAATATCTGTCACAGCATCAGCTAAAGGGCATAGACCAGCGCCAGTGTAATGTCTAAATTGAGCCTGTTGCCTCCACTCTATGCCTGACTCTGCAGAAAGATGTCAAAAAGAATAACATCAATTTCATTGCTCTTCCCTCCAACAAATGTATCCTGTAGAAGGACTGCACCCACTTGATCTTGTGGGGAATCTCCAATGCCTGGCTCCTGTGATATTAGCTGTCAAAACAAAAATTCTTAGTTCATCAATGCGTTTGCTCATGGCCTTTGTCACAGTCCTGATGTATTTTTCCATTTGATTGTGCTAAATGTATGTGCAAGACCATGCAAGTTTGTAATAGATTCAGAAATTCATTTGAAGACTTAAGTTTAGTCTCAATAAGCTTATTTTTTTTATTGTATTGAGAAATGGGTGATATTTCTTCTTCAAGCATTAACTGTTAACTTTTTTAAAAAGTAAAAATTTTTCCCCCTTTAGATGAAAACTGTATATTAAGAAAATCTGAAATATTTCATTAATTCCTTCCATGCTTCTTTAGTGATGATTTTTGTTTTAACCATCCACAGAATTTCCAATGTGCTGCTCTGCAATGTGACAGATCGGGTGTCATTTTGGTTTGTGGTCACAGATCCCAAAAATGTGACAACTGTTCCTGGAAGTGAGGTAGAGGCAGCCATCAGGTACAGTCACTGCTTCTGCAGCCTTTGGTTCGTTGCTGACTGGGGATGCTTTCTCTCTTTATAAAGGATCACTCTGCCTCTTTAAGGATGGACTAATCCAAGTAGTTAAAACACCAAGGGGTCAGTAGTCTTTCATACGTGTGAGATTTGAAGTATTTTTAACAGTCCCACAGAATGTGAAGCATGTGAGCCATGGTATTATAACTTTGGAAGGAGACTCTCTTAATGCTGGAGCCTCAGATGAAATCTAGTCCCTTTCCAGAGCCCTACCTGTAATTTGACATCCAGTGCATGACACATACACTGCTCTCATCCAGCTGCTACATTTCCCAGCAAGAGAGCCTTCTTCCTCAGATGACAGAATTGCACACTTTCTGGGTGGGATTTATATAATTTTTATTGCATGCCGCAGGCACATCTACACCTGGACTAATGATTATAGGCTCCCTTTTGGTGCTTCTCAAGTACAGTTACCTGACTTAATTTAGAAGTCTGCTTTCACATGAGAAGAGCTCGTGTGAACTCTTCATGATCAGAGCTGACTGTGTCCCAGCTTGGCTTAAAGAATTGTATACTGACTTTTTTTTCATACCGGCTCCTTATTGAATGCCTGTCACAATTGTAGCTGAGCATTGCTTTTACGAAGTACCATGCAGTACAAATCAGTTTACTTTCTACTAAATATCTCATTCTGTAGCCAGTGAAAGCAAGAGTGTGGAGCTGAAGAGGGAAAAAGTGAAAATAGGTAATCTGACTTCAATGGTTCACCAAACCTACATAAGGGGTTTATAGGGATGACTCCCACAGGCAGCATAACTCAAGTGCATTTCTCAAGCTTGGAGTGGAAAACAGACCGCTTTGTTTTTAGACATTCTGTACTTTGTCTTGAAAATTCATGTTATCTCTATGGAGGTGTAATGCCTAATTCCTGATGAATGAGTATACATTCTTTTGGAAAGATTAACTTTTAAGCTTATGAGCAGATTAAAGTATTTCCTACAGAGACTCCAAACAATAGCTTCATAGCATTAGTGGAGGAAGCAGATTATTTATTCACTGAAGTTCTCTGTAAGAGTGCTGGAATGCAGGGTTTTTGCATTTCTGTTATTCTTTGATACATTCAGTAGCATAAGCGGATTTATTTAAGTCTTTTATGTGCCCTGTTTGCCACAGAAATTGGATGCTGTTCTAGTATGTCTAGTTTTTAACTGTTGTCTGTCACCCGATGAAGAAGAATATGCTATTCATAGAAAGTTTTAATTCCTTCCTAACTTAGAAACAAGAAATAAAATGGTCTGTAAAACTGCAATACTTTTTATTCAGTTGTTTCTAATTGCAGGCTTCCATACTAAATCATTATTCGAATTCTTCATACTACAGTAGCACATAAGAATGCTACCCACAGACCAGGATTTTATTGTATTATATTCTCTACAAACTAAGAATAAAGAGGAAGGCAATACTCAGAGCTCTGTATGAGTCCCAAGATCTTGCATAAATATACACAAGACATATTTTTGCGTATACAAATGCAACATGCACCTGTAGTTACCTACATGTGTTTCAGCACATAATTCTGTAACTCTAGGTGTTAGATGAGAGTAAACAATGCTTATTTCAGCTGTTCACAATGATCCTTTTATATCAATAAGGAAGCAAATCTTTTCTAAATCAAAGACAGCTTACCGTATTATGAGTCTTATAATATGCCATGGCTTTCAGTCCTCTCCAGGAATGCTAGCTTTCCCTTAAGGCTAAGAACTTCCTGTTTAAGGGACAGTCAAACATTATGATTTCCAAGGAAATAAATTTGCAAAATTGTACCTGTATTTCCTATATATCTGTTGTTAGGAAATACTTGCTCTATGGTAAATAAATTTAATTGTATACAAGAAAGAGTTGCTGTAAATCATACAGCTGCAATCAAAAAGAATCTCTCAAGACCAATAAATGTAATACATGTTCTCAAAAATTTCTAACATTTTGAAAAAGCTGATGTAAAATACAGCTAAAGCCTTTTAATGCTGCTTAGATTCAGATCCAGAAATATGTGCAAATGCTTAGAAGTAATGATTGTGGGTGAAGAAATCCATTAAAGGGTAGCAGTTGTACTACTCATGAAAAAGTGTGTTTATCAGACTTAATTTCTCATAATGGAAAAAATATGCAAAGTACAGATCCCTTTAGCTGCATCCTCCAGGGAAGAAGGGCATGTTTGCAATAGGGATTCTTCTGGACTAACTCGTATCCTATGCCTCATGGACCTAAGAAAATCTACAGCAACAAGGACAGGTGTACCTGCCCATAACATGCAGGATGGTTCAGTTTGAGGAACCAAGGGGCACTGATAAGTAAATCCTCTGAGCATTGCAGGGTAGATCTGCCACTCGCACGCTAATCTTGAATGCTGCATGAGCAAGACAACAGAGCCAGCCTTACAGATTACAACCTGCTATGTCTCCAGCACATGGTTCAAAACAGAAACAAGTAATAATACTATACTTCAAGTCTCATCTGTATTTCCCAATTTTTCAGATAAATACATATGAAAGTCTGGTGTTCAAGACCTTGTAAATATGGGGTGTCAATGGATTACTGGCAGGGTCTATGTTAAAGTGAAGGTCTGTGTAATCCTACCAACATCATGCTGGATCAAATTCAGCCCTGCCAGACCTGCAGCACTTACATTAAAATTCCTTTTTTTTTTTTCTTCTATCCTTTTAACTTCTAAAATACCTTTATAGAGCATTGTGATGTTCTTTGTGTTTTCATGAAGGATGAGCCGGAACAGAATCAACAGTGCCTTCCTTCTGAGTGACAAAACATTGCAGTTCCTGAAGATAACCTCAACCTTATCACCTCCTGTGGAACCCTCCACGCCTGTCTGGCTGATTGTATTTGGTGTTGTTCTTTGTCTCATTGTGGCTGGAATTGTTTTCCTCATTATTGCAGGGATTCGGCAACACAAGAAGTAAGCGGCTTAGTTTTTCTACTTTAACTGAATACTGGCAAGTTAAGTCAGCTGGGCTGCTTTTGCTTTTCAGATCAGCCTTAGAGAAGTTATAGCTGTGCCCTGCCTTCCTCTACAGGTGAAGATAACCCATGTGTCCTTTTCCAAGGAACAAGGTTAAATTTTTTAACTGTGAAATATTGATACCTTAGTAATGCTGGGATGTAATGAGGAAATAGGGAGTACAAGAATATGATCCTGGAGGCTGCCTAACTAGAGATGATAGCTTTACAAAGACATTTGCTGACATTATTTTCAAGGTTTAGCATGCCATAGGTGAGCCTCCTCTCACAGGCTACCCAAATAGCTACCAAGAGGGAGAAGGCTGGGAGTGACTGTGCCCTTTCCAGGTAGTAGTGCTGCTGCAGTTTGAGAAGCCTCAGTAGAGGACACAATAATGATTAATGTATGGCTGAATGGTCAATGGAACGGTGTGTGGTCTCACCTACCATTCATGATCTGATGAGTCCAAAGTACTCAGGCCTTCACAGGTTCCTGACCAGATCTCCCCATGAGCCTAGGTGTTTGCTATTTGGCAGTAGGGTAGGAGAGAGATACTTTGCTTTCCTCTCAGTTTCAGCCCTGTGCTGGCACTGGTGAAGAAGAGAAGGCTATTCATGTTTCCCCAGTGTGAGCATGTTGGAGCAGGCCAGAGAGTGGGTGGGGTTTTGGTCCTGCCATCTCTGTTGGCTCATGAGTTGGGCATAAGGAATAGAAATTTCTCAGCTGAGCTGAGATTGTGCCATAGAAGTTCAGCTTCTGCCACGATTTAGGCTGCCACGGAGGTTAGATTAACACAAAATTACGACTTCAGCAACAGAGTCATACAGGAACATCAGAAGAACTGAAAAAGGGTAGATTTCTGCTGACAACTAGATGCTGTTAAAATTATTGTATGTGTGGTGGACTGCATCCCCAAATATATCAGAACAATGGATTAATATGTGAAAAGTGGTGCATTGCAGAGACTTTTCCTTTCTGCTTCCTTATCACCTTGAAGAACAACATTAAAAGACCTCCAAAAAACAACACATTGCAAAGGATAAGTACTTCCCATAGAGAACCCTTAGTAGTGTAGTCGGAATCCCTTCAGTTATATCTTACAATCAGAAGTGTTGCATGAATTTGCAAAACCCCTTTCTGTTTTCAAAAAGCAAAATTCGACAGATAATAGATGAGACATGCTTTTTTTTGGACAGGTACTTGAGATCTGTGGATCCTTTATGCCCTGTCACAATCTTCCGTGTTGTATGGGCTGAGTTATTTCACCCCTGAACCTAGGCAAACTCTTCTGTAAAACTGGAGAATAACATTGCTGCCTGAAATCCATAGCTGCACTCTGTAGTATCGTGGCTCTATGTGTCTATATAGTGCCTAAGTCAAAGGGAGTCTTTGAACATTTCAAATAAGTGCAATATAAATAAATTATGCTAAATAAGTATGACTTTTCTAGCTGAAATAATAATTTGTGCTTTATATCAGGCTGAAAGACGTAAGTTCTTGCCCTCTGTTTTCAAAATAACTCAGCTGATCTTGAGCAGTTCCCTTCAGTATGGTGTAAACTACATACTCCTATCGTCATAGCACCAGTAATATGGCTTGTTGCTGCCTGCCTGTGGTCACTTGCATCCTCTCTGTCTCACGCTCTCATTCTCCTTTTAGTTGTTATTCTTCTTTTTACTTCTCCCTGTTTCTCTACTCTGCCTTATGTATAAATTTTCCTCAGAGCAGATTCATCCATGATTGAACTCTAACCCTCCTTTCACATCAATGGCATCTACAGACAGGGGCAGGGGAATGAGAGAGGATAAACCAAGCATATATTTCTTCCATCTAGTGTTGCAAAGACTGGAGAGGTAAGAGGGATGGTCTGGGCTATTTGGCTTTTCAGAAGAAGAGCCAGGCATCAGAGAAGAGGGTTTTGAAAGTGCTTGTCTCTTTTTTAGGTACCAAAGTGTGTGAGCAGGTTGTCAAAGACTTCAGCATGTCTTGAAATTAGTTTTCTTGGAAACCTGTCAGAGCTGACGTAATGGCAGTTCTGTTGCCTAGTAAGCTGTGTTGGAAATCTGGCCCTAAGGACAGTGTTGACTTCTCATAAATCTGGCATTTAGTCTTTATTCACCTTTAAAGTGCCAGTTAAATAGCTCAGTTTAGATAAGCCCAAAAACACGTGCTTCAGGACATTTGTACTCAGGGTGGCACGTGATTGGCCTATAATGGGGTTTCAGTAATGAGTTAGACTTGTACATCCTTTCTTGAACTGAAAGATTTTCTTAATTAGGTCCTCACTGTGTGTCACTGTCAACATGTAAAATTCCAAGCCACAGCTGCCTGCAGCTTGAAGAGTTCTGTGAGATAGCAGCCCTTGGCTGTGGGGTGAGCTGGATCAGACACACTGTTTCCCAGCCTTACCTTTGTTCTCCAGTCATCACAATAATATGATACCTTCTTCTCTTATAGTAGATTTGGCACATACCCAGGGCAGGACCACCCTCTACCATCTGTTCTGGGCTTAACTGAAGTCCACTCCTACCCCCAAAACCCTATCTGCAGCAGAGGCCATAAATATTTTTCTTGGGAAGAGAGAAATAAGAGTAAGGGCACACAATGCTTCCCTCTGTTTCTCTCTCAGCATTTAATTTGCAGCTGGGGGCCGTGCTGGCCTGGATTTGGTCTTCATGTATTGGGTAACCCACAATGTGTTATCTTACTATAGCTTGTTGAGTCTCTCCTTGGACTCATAGAAATTTTTCACTTCTCTGAATTCCTGTGGCAACGAGTTCTATGCATCTCTACTCTTCTTGTTTCTTTTAAATTTGCTCCGTAGTATCTTCTTTTGTGTTCTGCCCCCACACTTTTTGTATTAAAGAACACACCTTTTATCACTGTAAGAGCAAATACAGCAGCCAGAGGTTAGAGGTTTCCACTACTACCCCCTATGTTTTTTTTTAGCAAGTCTGCAATGCCAAGAATGTCCAAAGGCCAATAAAATTTTATTATTGTTAATATCGCTGTTATTAACAGTTACCCTGAGTCAGGTTGTTATGATTGTCCTGAGTCAGATAGTTACAGTACATATTGTGGGATAGCAAGAATCAGTGGAGCTGACCTTTGAGTTTCTTATCCTCTGAAACTGCTGATGCTGCAGGCTGTAAAGTACAGCAGGTTTTTCAACTATGAACTAGTAGATCTCAAGGTCAGAATAAATCTGGAATTAAAGGAACATCATGACGTGTTGACTGATATTTCTGTATTACATCTTCTTGTGGTTGTATTTTTAGGTGATTTTATTCAGCAACTATTTCAATATGCTTTTGGTGAGAACTGGGGCCTGGAAAAGTGAAAGCTGTGCTATTGTTTGATCTAGAAAACAAAAGTATAAAATACTGGGTAGGAAGGTGGATGTTAATGAAGTTTGAACTGAAAATGTAGATTTGCAGCATTAAGAGAACCTAACTTCTGGAGAGCATTGTCGGGGAGTGTGAGGGCACCACACTTGGGGGCTGTAGTCTAAAGCGATCTGTTTCTAAAAAGTGTGTTTTAATTTGTCCACATCATGGGGTGAAATCTATGACATACATAATGAGGTCAGGTAAGATGTTTAGTGCGGTCCTTCCTGACGTAAAGCAAAAACAGATATAGAGATTTTTTCCATTTTCATTTTGTACCAACTTTTCCTTCTTCACCCTTCAGTCATTTTACAGGATAAGGAGGTGAAGTAATATTTATAGTATGCTTACAACATGTTTACTCTAGGTTTTCTGATTCTCAGTCCTGACCTCAAACCACTAAACCTGGGCTTCCAAGGGGTGGGCTTCCTGTCTTCCATGATATATTTACAACAGCATAGAGGTGCACCAGATTGTGCCTTTCAGAACATAACCCATGATAAACTGACTAAATGTACATTTTTCTCTCTGGGGTCATGGTGGAGTGCTGCAGGTCAACAGGATAAGGTGATTTTTCTCTTCCTTGTTTTCAGAAAGAATAAAGACTCAACAGAGAGAGAAAATTTAGAAGAGAAAGGTGAAGCGTCAGTAACAGCAGAAAATGGGATTCCTTGTGAAACGCTGGATTTAAAAGCAGGCCACATTAATGGAGTCTTTGCAGCAGATGATGAACGATTCACGTCCTTATGAAATGCTGCTATTGCTATCTGGCAGTTTTTTGAAAGACTCTCATGCCTACCTTATCTCGTCACTACTCCTGAATGTCAAACATGAAGACAAGAAAAATGTCCTTTCACTTAATTTCCCTTGAGAGAACCTTTCACTGATAACACATACACTTGAACCTTCGTTACAAAGCTTTTGTCATGAGGAAAGCAAATGAGAAGACTTCAAATGATATCCATTAAAGATTTCCAGAAGATGTGTGTCAGAACAGGGTTGAAACCTGCCTTGTGTCAGGCATTTAATTTTTAATGATTATTTAAATATGTCTATTCCTTGTTTTCCCCTGATATAAATGTGAAACTGCGTTATTCCTGAATGTCACTGGGGAGATCATCTATCATTGTCAATTATTACTGGGCTTTCTTTCAAGCCATATGCAAAAGTTTCTCTGTAAAATTACTTCTGTTTGCTGATGTGCAGTATGCCTTTGAATGGAATAGCGATCAGTACGTGAAAGTTTTAATTTATTGAGGGAAAAAAAAGCAAGCTTTCACAGCCTCCATAAGAGCAGGTTAAAAAGCAGCTGGGTCATCTGTAGCTTTAGGACTAGCAAGGGTCTGGTACTAGAAGTGTTTTTCACTTAATAGTCAAAGTCACAGATTACATGACCTGGAAATTAAAAGTTGTAAAAGTTTGAAACATGTTGAAATTAAAAGTTGCAACAAAGTGCAGATTTTTCAAAGGTGCGGTCTGTAGTTAGTGGCCCAGCTCTCATTAAATCTATGAGGGCATTTCACAGCTCTTTGAAAATATCTTCCCTACATTTTTTAATAGTAAAACTACAGCAGATTTCCAAGACAGTGAATCCAGGGTCAGCTAAACCTTCATGTGACAGCTGGATAGCTTTTGAAAAGATTCAGTGCTTGAAACACCAGCTGCTGGGCTTGGTGCACCCACCCTGGATGAGAATGTGTACGTGGTGGTAAGTTGGCAGAGATGATTCAGACCTGTGTTTCCTATTTATGTTGCTGGGAGTTGAGGGCACCGAATGGTGTTAGACCCTAAACTGCATTGTCAGATTACTTTGAAGTCAGCCGTGCATACGGACTGTGCTGTCTGTGCCCTACTCCTGTTCCCATTTAAATCACTGATAACATTTGTACTGATTTCAGGAGAACTGGGCCCCAGTAAGGGGGAATTGTATGTGTGGTAACTGCACTCAGAAAATGGAAGTGTGTTGAAGCAAACTATGGTATCAGCAGTCACCAAACAGCTGTCCACATCACTGGAGGCAGGATTTGACTGTTAGCCATCCTGTTTGCAGTGTCGTGTTTGGAGGCAATATTCGAAAACCCATTTACTTATTAGGGTTATTCCATCAGACTCCTCAGGAACAGGGTAAAACAGGGTAAAAGCTGCTTGTAAAGGACCCTCCAGTGTCCTGAAGGGTACAAAGGTTTCTTGCCTCCTAGGGTACAAATCCTTCAGCATTTTGGCTGTCTCGAGCACTTGGGCTGTCCGTTTGACTCAATGCTGGCTCTTGGGTACAGGGTGAGCCGATGGGGAGGAGAAGGGGAAGCAGCGGAGTGAAGGTGGGAAGCTGAGCAGTGGAAGGAAGGCTAAAAGCAAAATAAAACTATGGAACCCACTGATCATTACCTCACATGGTCTCATCTGTCACAGTTGTCTTTGATGTCTTGCTGGTGGGTCGCTCTGGGCAAGGACTGTCTTCTCTGTGTCCCAGAGGGTGAGCTGCTCCATTCTGGAAAAGGATTAATAAAGTCACTGCTTCAAAACATGGAGATGTGTTTCTCACAGGAATGACAAAGATTAAGCTTACCAGTGTTTAAGATCATTTGGAGGAAGGATACAGAGTACAGTGTTGTTGTTGCTTCCTCAGTCATTGCTCCAAGGTCTTTCACTCAGACAGAGTTTTATTGCAGTAACTCAGATCCCATCATTTCTAAACCTTCACACTTTTCGCATTCTTTGTATGACAGCTCCACTGCAGTGTGGCCACAATGGATGGCTGTAACTGCAGCACCTCTGCAAGAACCCATGAAAGATTTTGGATAGCTTGGTAGTGCAAGAGCAACCTCAAGCTACCGATTAAGAATTACTGTTATCCTGTATTGTACTATATGATACAGAAATAAAATTCACTTGATATGAAAAAGGGCCAAGCATATCTGAGCATAGGTTCAGTTCAGCCCATGGCACTGGCCAGCAATTTGAAAATAGATTGAAAGCCTCTGATGTGGGTTGACTCTGGTAGTAAGTATTTAATCACTGACTTCCTCCCAGCTCACCTTTTAGACGCATAATTACTTTACAGCAGTTTGGTGTAATTTCCTGCTAATGATGATATGGGATTCACGCATAGCATCTATCTTGCTTGCCTCTCTGCTGACAGAAAATGGCTTGAAGAGAAGCAAAAGATACGTGAACAGGCAGGTATCACACTTAGCAATGCTTTGAAGTCAGTGTTGGTATTAGTTTGAAATAGGTACCACAAACTAGGTTAATCAAGGGCACAGTGCTACAAAAGAAATAAATCTCTGTTCTAGTCTCTTTGTGCAGCAGGATCATATTAGAAAACAAAGAACACTTTCATTTGGTAAAGCCTGTCCTCCAGAGCCTGCAAATAGTAAGATGACAATTTAAATCCCTTGAGGATCTGGCCCAGATGTTTTATGTATCTTTGTATTTGTTGCTTGTTTTTTTCTTTAAATCACCTGCCATCAAACAACCTGATAATAAATGGGAAAGTGGATAACCAGCAATATAGACTGTACTGTAAACTAGTTTGTAAAAACAGTGAGTTGCTTCTGCTTTCAGTTACATTTGTGCCATGAATTTCAACAAAGGAGCATGTTGTGCCTGAGACTGAACTGTTTCATTTTCAAGAGCTGCATTTGAGAAAAGAGAGGAGAAAAGAAAATTCAATTAAATGAAGCAATAAACCCAGATAAGTTCTGTTTGAAGAAAATCTGCAATGTTTATCATTAGCTCCACATCCCCAGCAAGTCGACATTTCAGGAAGGACGCTGCAGTTCTGTTCAGCTCACTTGAGAGAGAGTATTGATGTCTAGGCTAGAATGAGCACAGATCATGCATGAGTAAGTTGTTTATGCTGTCAGTCATTAGCTACACATTTGGAGCGCTGGAGAACATTGGGAACTCTGCAGTGCCCTCCTTAAATGAGAGACCGAGCCAGTTGTGACACAACCATTTGCTGAGCACAACCTTCAGCACTGTATCAACCACAGACTGATTTTCTAAATTAAATTAGTAATCCTTTTTTATCAATATTTATTTAGAGAATATTGGAAGATGTGGGCGGATGCTGAAGTCCTTGCTCAAGTCGTTCTGCTGCTTGCTTTAAGGAAAGCTAACCCCTCTGTCCTGCAAGCTGATGCTTGCGCTCTGTTGGAGGAAACTGGACCGAAGCTTGTTCTGTCACATTAGCATTTGCCTCTTCTCTTCCAGGACAGTGTACAAAGTCTTGCAAGAGTCTGTCTGTGACACTGGCCTCTGAACATCTCCCTGTTAGCACACCTTGAATTCTGGACCCAGTATTTCCCCAGGGCTCTGCCGGTGCTGAAGAACCTGGAGGGGTGACCTCATGGGCCACTTTCAGACTATATGTTCCTATTTGTTTGTCCAGGTATGACATTTGCTTCTGTTGTGCTGACCTTCATGGAGAACATTTTCCTGGCTATGCCTTCATAAATTGACACCTTTTTTCTGCATTTTGAGGGAAGACAGCTGAAGCCAGTTCACTGTTTCTGCTGTTGTTCACAAATAAGAAGGGTGAAGTGGGCACAAGGAGCATCAGGCCAGGATTCAAGTCTTGTTCCTTCATCACTGTGAGAATGAAATAATTCCCAAATTAATACAAATCACAGCATTAGCACAAGAACTTCTGGTTTGACAATTTTGTTCCAAGAACTGGGCGTCAGTTTTGACCAAGCAAGCAGCGTTATCACATCTTGACAGAAAGAGTTTTTCATGTGTAGCCTCCCACATGTGGGAAAACAAAAGTAATCACTTTAAAGCTTGGGGCAGAAGTGCAACAAAGACTTAAAATAGCTCCCAGTGAAAAGTGAGAGTCTGTGTTTCTAGATACTCTTAAAAACATGGCTCAGATGCCCTCAGAAATTTGGTCAGTTCATCAGTGCCAGTAACCTTTGACTCATGAAATGGGCTGTTTTATATGTGCTGAGTTTTTATAGAAAATGCGTTGACCAACTGTCCACAGTCCATTAGCAATGAACAATCTGTGCTTGGTTTTCTATGAGCAGTTCCTTTTGGCCTCTCATGGGTTTTGTTTCCTTTTAATGTGCCGTGCAAGAAGGGATGTGTGCAACCGAGTGACACCACAGCTTCCTACGCTGCCGGACAATTGCTAATGAAAAATTTGTACTGTTAGATATGCCTGATTTGATGAACTGAACTTGCTAGGTTTCAAAACACATAATGTTAAACCATAATGCTAAAGTACATTGACAGTGATGAGTGATACACGTTTGCCAACACAAATGTGTCAGTATATTCAGTTCTGTGAATACATTAAGCACTGTGGATGCACTTAGCATAATGCATTTGCATTTTATCAGGATACTTGGTGGCTGAATTTATGTTTGCATTTCTGCCCAAGATAAAACGGTGTGGAAGAATTTCACCTATATAGCACAGGTTCAACTTTGCTCTCAGTAAAGTCAGCAGCTTCAGTAGGAAGTGAATTTGACTTAAGGTCACAAAGAAAAATTTGATTTTGCTAGTCTGTCCTCTTCCTTCCTACTGAGTTTTCCTTTCCCTTAGAGATGGCAATCTGAAGCTGTCAAAGCATCTTATTAGCTACAGCAATGGCTAAAGAGAAAACATTTAATTTTGGAAAAATGGTGAGAGTGTTCTGGCATTATCTCTCTATCAGCTTCTGCCACTCTCCTATAATTTAGATTCTCATTGCTACAAATTACAGTGTGTCACTTTAATCAGTTGTGAACCAACATGAATTTTAGACATTGGACTGATGTTCTCTATGATATTGTATCTAAACAACGTTGTAGATTTGTGGACACATGGTCACTGTAAAATGAACTGGGACCACGTACTCCTGCCTTTGTAAAAATGAAATGAGAAGTATGGGTTGCTTGGATGAAAAGCTGCATTTCACGGGATTGATACCCTTCCTTTCATTGGTGAGGCAAGGTGACCTTTTGTAGTGTACAAGGTGTAAATAGTACAGAAAATTATGCCAATGAATGATTCCCTCTCCTCTGTCTCCTTAACATATGGTCTTGATTTTAACTGTGGCCTTCAGCAACACAGACTATGACACTTTATGATATCCTAATTTAACCTGACAATTTGTACACTCATCTGCCTTCCTGAAAATCATTTAACTTCAAAGCTTTCTCCTAAACCTTGCAAAACCACTTTGGTTTCCTGATGCTCTGGGCAACTGCCAGCATCTTTCACAGCTCCTGATGTTGTCTTCAGATCTGGGACTTGCCCCTGCCCATGGGGCACTTGCCTCCCCAGCGATGCTGAGCATACTTTGATGGGGAACAGCCACCAGCCTGCACCTCCCTTGGAGTGCAGAGGAGTGCAGCAGAGGTGACAGCTTCACCTCTGAAATCAGGGAGCAAATCAGCCTTCCTTGGAACAGGAGGTTATGGAGGGATACAGGTTAGTTGTCCAAGGCACTGGCCCCAGGCTCGGGCCAGGTGGATGCAAACCTCTCCCTGCTCTAGAAGGACATTGGGATATGGCTGCATGGCCAAGCCAGGAGCAGGAGCTGGGTGCAAGCCAGGTAGCAGCCCCTCCTCGCTTCTTGCCCACTGAGACGGAGATCCTGAGTGTGGGGCAGCAGGAGAGGAGTCTCTGTGCTCTGCGCTT